CGGGATTATTCCCATGCATTTTCGATAGCCTTCTCAACTCAAACATATTTTATAGTAATGTGCAAAAATAGTTTATCTTTTTCAAAATGTATGCTCAAAAAAGGGAATCCCCAAGGTTTGCAAAAAGTTTCTCATTAGGATATTTTTGAAGATGGGGAAATATTCGGACAAAAAGGTCATGTCAGTCAATTTATGTTGCCTATGAAGCTTGCAACATGATCCAAATCCAATGCAATATGTTAAAGGAAATCTTAGACCTCTTTCTCATATAGTAAACAGTTGCATTATTTTCCTTGGACAGAATGTATACAATTAGATGCTAAAGCGCTTACTCCTTATTCCTGGAAGATAATACTTTTCTACGCACCGCTCTGTCTGTTGAACTAAAGTAGCCTTTGAAGCCACTAAAGTTTAACATATTGTCTTCAACGTCTGTCTGATAAAAGTATATGCTTGGATAAGCCTACCCTATCTTACCTTAACATTTACCACTTCATGTGAATTCGATGAATTGACAGCAAGATGCATGATTTCTACGCTACTGGGATTGATACCCTTTGCTCACACGTGTCCTAAAGGTTATGGCGCTGCAAAACCACTTGTCAACGCATTCGTTTTTGCATGTATATTACGGCTTAGAATTCGAGTAACATGCCGACATATGCCAAATATTGATACTCTTTCGCTAATCGGTATTGAATAACATTGTAATAGTGATTATCGTGTAGTCATATATGAAGTCATTTCAGTCCCGCTAGGATGTCAGCGTTTTAACGAGCGTGCTTGGGACCGTTAAAAAACGTATATGCTGTAATAAGTGGCTACTTTAGTAGTACGTAGTAAACCGTTCATGTTGTATATATTATACAAAACTTGAATAAACTGACGGATGTGATGCATCATTAATGAAATGCGCGCTGTGCATATCCGTTAAAGGAAAAGTACGTTTTCGCTTACGGGATGAGGGAGAAGTCACATAGTCCTCATAAAATATTGCAATAGATGTGGAACATGCCGAATACATTATACGCAACATTAATAAATTGATGGATGTTATGTATAACAAATGAACAACTCACAATCTTAAAAAAGCTCTTAACAATGTCCTTTATGACTGATTAAACAGTATCTTTTTCTGTAACTAACAAGTGCCGTAGTAGTATGCACTTATATTTTGAAGAAAACGAATTAAACTCTCCTTAATTTACATACTTAAATGCAGAATATATTTCGGTATTACAAAAATTTATAACTGTCACATTTTAAGATTGGCAAATGCGTATTTATGATACATCGTATCTGATAATTTATTGAGGTTGTCTATAATACCTACAGCATGATCCAAATATCTTGCAATATGAAAAAGGGCATTCACTGGGAGAGGTTTATTTGCGATCTGACGTTCCTACTACAAGACTCCTGTAAACACAGATTTGGCGAATCAAACGATGTTTCGACACAGTCGATAAATGACCAGAGTCCTCATACAAGATTGTTAGCTTTGGGTACGGAAATATGCAGGCAGTTGTGACAAATTCAAGATGCTTGTCCTTCGCTACTGCAATGAAGAAGTCGCTATCACACTAGAAAACACTTTGCTACCCTTGGGATGACAGAAGCCTGCGAGCAGAGATGCCGACTTATCGATAAAGTTCAGGGCACTGCAGACCGCACAATACCTGGAGACCGAGCAAACATTAGAACACAACCCCTGGTCAAAACGGCTAACCACGGTTCAAACAAAATTCCTACAATGGGAATCCCGATTCAATACAACCGATGCTGATCCGGTCACCTTCATTGCCTTATTCGAGTCAGCAGTACGCCAAACTGGCTTCACAGACGAAACGAAGAATTTTCTGCGACACCAGGTTGCCTATCTGGTCATGTCACACTGAAAAACCAATTCGCTCCTAAGGGAAGGACAAAAGGCCCTCAGTGAGTTAAAAGCAGACACTCAAATAATTATCCTGCCCGCTAACAAAGGCCGACCAACGGTTGAGATCAATAAAGTCGACTACCAAAGCAAAATTCGTATGCTCCTCAACGATCGAGAGTCTTACAAAGTCAGTAACACCGCCGACCCAAAAACACCACCGTCAAAATTGAGTAAAACCCTGAGTCGACTAAAGGAAGAAAAGGTCGTCACCAGCAAGGACTGGTACATGGCAAAGCCCACCGAAGCAGCCATGGTACGGTTCTACGGCCTCAAAAAAGAACACGCCAGTCTTACTCCTGTGGCCACTCGTCTCCCTCCGAGGCACGCCAACATACGGACTGGCAAACTGGCTATTCCGGAAGCCGAAGTTCCTTATGATGGGCTCACAAACAACAGTTTAGTCGGTAGAACAATTTCTAGGCATAGTAAAGACGGTCGCAATTGAACCAGGTGAAAGGATAGTGTCATTCGCTGTCATCTCACTCTTCCGATCCATACCACAGGCCCTTGCTGCTGAAACTATCCGGGACCTTGTACGACAGAATTACGAGGAGAGAGAGGGTCAACCCACAATTCAAGACCTCATAGAGCTCACAGAACACTGTATCAAGCCCTT